GATATTTCTCTCTCTGCATCTCCGTTCCTTTTTGAAATCAATAAAAAATATATACATTTTTAAAAGTTCATCATACGTACATAAAACCTTTATATGTGGCCTTAGAAAATTTTTAGAATTGTTTTTACCCATTCTAACATTGGGATATTATGAGGAATTCTATATACTCAAGACATTTTCTAGGTATAACATGACTTTTAAAATATTTAATGCCATCTAGTGACTAAACCTGAGTATGAATATGCAGAGTTTCTGGTTTCAGCTGTTTGTATTTTCCCCCATCTTCCAATTTATTCAATAACATTTATTGAGCCTTAACCATACCAGGTTTTATGTTCGACTGTAAGTGTGCTAAGATGACAAAGGCAGTCTTTGCCACTAAGTAGCTCACCATAAAGAAATGTAAGGGTCATAGGTGTATATATTGACTCTGTAAATCCTCATATTTTTATAGTGATTTGATCCAAACTATACCAATAATTTTCCATCATTCTGCCTCATTAACTAGAGTTTTTCTTTATGTATAAGTACATTTAGAAGGTAATTTATTGTTATTGTAGCAAGTTTCAAATCTTACTTTTTCTAATAATTAGAGAGAAGCAAATAAAAACTACAGTGAGGTAGTTTTTATTCTCACACCAGTCAGAATGGCGACTATCAATAAATCAACAAACAACAAGTGCTGGCGAGGATGTGGAGAGAAGGGAACCCTAGTGCACTGGTGTAGCCACTGTGGAAAACGGTATGGAGTTCCCTTAAAAAATTAAAAAATGGAACTGCTTTTTGAACCAGCAATCAAAAGGGTATATCCTAAGAATCCCAAAACACCAATCAGAAAGCATATATGCACCCCTACGTTCATAGCAGCATTATTTACAATAGCCAAGATCTGGAAACATGGTAAAAGACTTAACTGTAAGATGTGAAACCATAAAAGTCCTAGAAGAAAACATAGGCACCAAAAGTCGTACATCTTACAAATTACCGATACATCTCCTAAGACAGTGGAAATTACGGAGAAAATAAACAAATGGGACTACATTAAAATACAAAGCTTCTGCACTGCAAAAGAAACCCTCAACAAAATAACAAGAGAGCCCACTACATTGGAGAACGTGTTTGCCAATGATACATCTGATAAGAGGTTAATCTCCAAAATATATAGGGAACTCATACAAATTAAGGAAGACAAACAATCCAATTAAAAAATGTGAGCAAAGGACCTAAATAGACACCTCCAAAGTGGACCTACAGAAAGCCAAGAGACATAAGAAAAAATGCTCAAAGTCACTAATCATGCGAGAGATGCAAATCAAAATGACAATGAGATATCACCTCACACCTGCCAGAATGGCTATCATCAACAAATCAATAAACGACAAGTGTTGGTGAGGTTGTGGAGAAAAAGGAACCCTAGTACACTGCTGCTGGTGGGAATGTAGACTGGTGCAGTCACTGTGGAAAACAGTATGGAGTTGCCTCAAAAAATTAAAAATAGAACTCCCATTTGACCCAGTGACCCTACTTCTAGGAATATATCCTAAGAAACCCGAAACATTCATCAGAAAGAATATATGCACTCCTGTGTTCATAGCAGCACAATTTACAATAACTAAGATTTGGAAACAGCCTCAGTGCCCATCAGCAGATGAGTGGATAAAAAACTGTGGTACATCTACACAATGGAATACCTGGCAAATGTAATTACAACTGGTGAGATTCTCTTCTCATTAATGCTTATACATCTTTTACTGCAAGGATGAACTAGACATTACCTAAGATATTGGATTTTCAGAGTTCACAAATTATAAACAACATTGAGAAATAACCTTTTCCCATAGAACTCCTTTTTCTTGCTTAATGAAAAGTACTACAGCCCTGGCTGATGTTGCTAAGTGGTTAGAGAGCATCAGCCTGAGCACTGGAGGGTGTGGGTTCAATTCCTAGTCGAGGGTACATATGTACCTGGGTTGCAGGTTCCATCCCTGTCCCTGGTCAGGGCACATGAGGGAGGCAATCAATCAATGTGTCTTTCACATCGATGTTTCTTTCCTCTCTCTCTCTCTCTCTCCCTCGCCCCCCTCTCCTTCCCACTCTCTCTAAAAATCAATGGAAAAAATATCCTACTCCTCAAGTGAAAAAAATGTGAAAAAAATAACATAAAAAAATACTACATAAGGAGAAGCCTAATACCAGATAGTCTGCCCCATCTAATTCACTTCCTAGGCAATGAACCTAGGCAATTCTTTGATGTGGTTGAATTAATTCCCATAGAAAACAGATATATTCATGCAACATCTCTACTCAGATCACTTCAGGATTCCTCAATTCTAATAAAGTCCACATTCCCTTAGCTCAACAGTCAAGTTGTACACGTGTCTACAAAAACCAAGTTAAACGAGTAGCATGCTTGGTATAAGACTAGAAAAAATGACGCAAAAACCAAGTTAAATGAGTGACATGCTTGGTATAAGAGACTAGAAAAAAATGTCAGGGATTGTGGCAATCAGGAAATCTTAAATTCCATTTAAAGGGGTGAAGTTGCTTTTCCTGCCAATTATTACTAAGCAGGAATGTGGGCCCTATATTTTCTAATCTTTGGATTTTTTCATGAGAAGTCATAGAGTTAATTTAGGCATGTGTTCACTTATGAAATTCAAAAGCTTTTTAAAAGATGTATAAGCCAAATTAAACTTGTGTGGGGATGAAATTTGTCATCTCTGTACTAATAACCAACCCCAAACCAATATACTTAATCTTTTTTCTCCCACTATCCTCATATAATCCCATCCTCTAATGTGGCTGAACTGTTCCTTGTCTCCTGATCTATGCTTACTCTACATGCTTTTGCTCTTCTTTCACGCTAGACTATTCCTCCCTCAGAGCTATATGCTACATATAAAATTTTACTTCTCCCTACACATAAGACCTAAAACTATAAAAGTCTTCAAAAAAAAATATAGGAGAAAAGCTTTATGACATTGGATTTGGCAATGATTTCTTAGATATGACACCAACAGCACAGGCAATAAAAGTAAAAATAGGTAACTTGGACTACATAAAAATTTGAGACTGTGCATCAAATAACATAGACAACAGAATAAAAAGGCAACCTAAAATGGAAGAAAATATTTGCAAATCACAAATCTTTGATTACAGGTTAATATCCAGAATATGTAAAGAACTATAACTCAACAACAATAATAAAAACCTATTAAAAGTGGGCAAAAGACATGAATAGACATTTTCCACAGGAGATATACAAATAGCCAACAATCATATGAAAAGATACTCAACATCACTAATCATTAGGGAAATGCAAATCCAACCACACTGAGGTATCAGGGTGGTTACTATAAAAAACAAAACACACACCTAATTCCAGTGCTGGGGATTTACAATATCGCGAGACATATTAGATATTGAATATTAAAGTTTCTGATTAAAACGATCATAATCCTTTCTTTAATTGCTCTTTTTAAAGTTCTCTTTCCAATAATACTATAGACTACAAACCAATAAGAGTTTTATTTTTTGGTCCCTCTTCCTAGGTTTAAACAATCAATGAAATTGTTCTTAATCACCATTCAAACAAGGTGTTGGGTAAAATTTTTACTTGAACAATTTTCAATTCACTAATGTTTAATGTGAAAGTATATTAAAAATATATTAATACAGTATTTTTTTTAATTCGCCTTCCCTGAAATCCCAATGTTGTCAACATTCTGATTCTGTAATTTATACCCACACATACCTCAAGGGTGCTGAATGAGCCACATTGAAAACACAGTTGCTCTAAAGCTAGAAGGAGCTTGTGGGTCATTCTGACCCTGAGCCTGTGCCTAAGAAGTGAATGAGGTCACAGTTGTATGATGGAACAAACCCTTTATGGGATTCTTGATCTGATTGAAGCCCAGAAGTGGTAAGTAACATGGTCTAAAAATAGATAAATATATGAATTTTGTGGGAATCTACAGAGTCCTTTTTTAAAAAAAAATGTATAATCTCTATGAGATGTTGAAAGTAGTTTTTTAAAGGAATGATAATTTTGAGCCATGAGAATGACTTCACAGCACCTTTCAAGTGCCTAAATTGTGATCCTCTCCGGAGTGCCAGCTCTGTGGTAGGTTTCCATATTTTCAGCACATGTCATTGAGTTGTTTAGGAACAACTGCTTTCTTGGTTCTGAGATGAAGACCTGGAAAATTGATTGAACTCTAACCAGAGACTTTTTCTTCACAGTTTAGTAGTATATAATCGTCTAATATTCCTAAGTCAGTAACCCAGTTTTCTTCTCAATGAACCACCTAATACACTCTACATTTTGAAAAGATCATTGCAGAGATAAAACCAACAATAAAAGTGGGAAGCCCTACCATCCCAGCTTCTGGTTCATAGGCCCCAACTCTCTAACTATGCAGAGTGGAAAAGAAGGACTAGGGAGGCCAGAGTGGTTGAGTCCATTCAGGACGGTGTAGGGTAACAAAACAGCACTGTATCCCACTCCTATTCTACTTTTAAGATCTATGGGTTCATAATAAATCACATGGGTTTCAGAGGGATCTCACAGAAGGAAACCCTGGAAAAATCTACTTACTACTACACAGGTATCCAAGATATAAACAGGTAAGTATTTTGGAAGTGCTATAACATTTTATTCTCTGTCAGTTATAACATGAAATGTCCCATTGATTTCAAAAATAAATTTTGTCCTGAAATAATGTTTTCTACATATTCCAAGGGGACCTTCCACATGGCTTTCCAACTTTGCACAAACCTCTAACTTTAATTTATACATCTTACCATACCTTGAGGCCCTGGACTTCAAATTTCAGGTCTTGAGCTGAGAACATTGCAAAAGAAAGTTGTACTATAGAGAAATTAATCTGTGAGCCTTAATTGTACCTTCTGAATTCCAGACAGAGTTACTGGCCAAATGGCAGTTTCTGACATTAAGTCAAAATTTAGGCTGGATCCTCTAACAAAAATACCCAGCGCCCATGGCAAGAGGTAAGTAATGAACATATTAAGATGATAAATATATTAAGGTAAGGAGTTATTAAGGTGATGAATATATTAAATATCCATAAAGGCTGTGATGAAACACGTTAGAATGCTCTTCAAAATATCTATTCTGTGAGCCCTGGCCAGTTTAGTTGAGTGGATAGAGGATTGGCCTGCAGACTGAAGTGTCCCGGGTTCAATTTTGGTCAAGGCACATACCTCGGTTGCAGGCTTGATACCTTGTGGGAGGCAACCAGTTGATGTTTCTCTCTGTCTCTCTCTTCCCTCTCACTCTCTCTAGAAATCAATGGAAAAACATCCTCAGGTGAGGATTAACAACAACAAATTTATTCTGGGATAAACTGAGTTATGAAACAAATGTGAATTGAAGATAAAGATTTTTATGAAAAGTATACATATTCTTTTTGATTAGAGAGACAAAGAGTTCTCCTTCCTGTTCTCCCAAATGAGAGGCTATTTTTGTGTGAGGGGACAGAATACCCTAGAGGGCTTAAGAAGTTGTCAGTTATACATTAAGACGTTTTGAGTGCCATTTTAAAAGATAATACATTTAGAGGATCATAAAGAAGACCTAAGCCCCTAAGCAAGTCAGAGTGTAAAGAAAACGTCTGTATCTCAAATATGGCCAGTAAAATGAAATCTAGTTTAAGATGGCAGTGTGGGAGGTCAGGAGGCAGCAGGCCTGTGGGAAGAGCAGTGCTATGGGCTGTCTCAAGCAGGTGGCCGGGCAGGACAACATCAAAAAGAAAAAGAAAATGAAATCTGGCAAATTAGGGTTGACCTAAGCTTGTACTAAAATTAGGAAGGGAGGTTTGCCTGTGACACTTAACATTAGCTTTGTCTTAGTCTGATGATAACAAATTCCAATAAACAGTAGCCACTAATAACTGAAAGTGAAAGCCTGATCTGTTCATTACCAAATCATAAGAAAAGCCTCTCTCCTCTCTCACAATTATCGATTTTCTTTGCCACTTTGAGAGTATTTCTCCTATTATCCTTTTCCCCCCATTTATTTTCAGAGAGTGGAAGGGAGGGGGAAAGACAGAGAGAGAAACATCAAACATCGACATGAGAAACACATCAATTGGTTGCTTCCCACACCCACCCCAACCAGGGCTGGGTATTGAGCCTGCAACCAAGGTATATGCCCTGGACTGGAATCAAACCCAGGACCCTTCAGCCCTCAGGCTAATGCTCTAGCCATTGAGCCAAACGGGCTAGGACCTAGTATCCTTGACCCTGCCATTGCTAGAGGAAGATACTACTTTTCCAGAGGGATGCGGATAAGACAACCTTGTAGTAGCCCAATCCCTTCATCTCATCCTGCATTGAAGTAGTGACTTCCTTGTCACTGAAAGTAATCAAGCAAAGTCTAGATAATACCACATGTAGATTGAATTCCTACATGAGATGTGAGGCTAGACGGGGTTTGCTCCAAATCTAAGATTTCCCAAATCTTTAAAACGTTATAAAATAATAACACTATTTCCCATGTTTGATCCAAGATAAGGCTTGAAATTCTGCCAAGACTATCCTTTTTTTAAATTTAGCTAAAAACAAACAAACAAACAACACTTTATACTGCCTGGCCTTTTATTTTCCTCTTGCTTCTTTTAAAAAATATATTTTTATTCAGTTTAGAGAGAGAGGAAAGGAGAGGGAGAGATAGAAACATCGATGAGAGAGAAACATCAATTAACTGCCTCCTGCAATTCCCCTAATGGGGATTGAGCCTGCAACCTGGGTATGTGCCCTGACCAGGAATTGAAGGGTGACTTCTTGGTGCATGGGCCGATGCTCAACCACTAAGTCACACCGGCCAGGCTCTTTCTTGCTTTTTGAGAACTTTGTATTTCTGCAACAACTGCATCTTTTATATAATGCCAAAAAATTATTTATCTTTAGATATACAGTAAATATAAAATAACCTATCCAAATAAAGGCAAACTTGAGTTTTCAGAAGTTCAGGTAGGAAATAAAAAGAAAATACTAGAAGAAGAAATCAATGTTAGTAAAAGCTGAAAAAATAAGGTTAATTAGATAAAATTACATGTCAAAAAAGTTGAGAATGGTACATTATGAGACCCTATTGCCTCCTTTTTCTTTAAGTCTCTATTTGAAAATAAGTTGAATCTACTAGATACATGGAGGGTAGTAAATTCATAAACCATAACTTAAAATTCAACTACCATGTTTGGTATTTCTCCTAGTGTCATTTTTTAAAACTGCTTCTTATAAAAAAAAAAACTAAGACATCCCATATTTTAAAAACTTTTAGTTCTACTCATATCAAAACTAAATGTATTTTATTTATTTATTTTTTCATATAGTTTTTTTTTAAATATATTTTTTATTGATTTTTTACAGAGAGGAAGGGAGACAGAGTGTCAGAAACATCGATGAGAGAGAAACATCTATCAGCTGCTTCCTGCACACTCCCTACTGGTTATGTGCCCTCAACCAAGGTATATGCTCTTGGCCGGAATCGAACCTGGGACCCTTGAGTCTGCAGGCCGACGCTCTATCCATTGAGCCAAACCGGTTAGGGCACTAAATGTATTTTAAATAAAATTAATTTATAAAATTATAATCTAATCTAATAAAAGGCAAACATGCAAATTGACCATACCTTTGCTACGCCTTAAGCCACACCCACCAGCCAATCAGAGCAACTATATGCAAATTATGCAAATTAACCCAACCAAGATGGCGGCCGGCAGCCATGGAGCTGGAGCAAGCAGGAGGTTTGGTTGCTCCAGTGATGGAGGAAGCCAAGCTTCCTGGCCGGCTCTGAGCTCCACTGAAAGCAACAAAGTTTCAATTATAGAAGATAAATAAACCCCAGATACCTGCTTTCAGCCAGCGGAGCTGGAACAAGCAGGAAGCCAAGCTTCCCGCCTGCCGCGGGACTTTGAGCTCCACTGAAGGCAACAGAGTTTAAATTATAGAAGGTAAATCAATCCCAGAATAAAAAAGAAGAAGAAAAGGAGAGGCTGGGAGCTTCCGTTGCTGGGGGAGGTGGGGAGGGTGGCCAGCCTGAAAATGGCCCTCACCCAGACTGGCCAGGCACCCCAGTGGGGACCCCCCTACCTTAAAGGGGGTGTGGCCAGCATGAAAACAGCCATCAGCCCCACACCCAGGCTGGCCAAACCTCCATGGGGTGAGGGTTCTCACTGCGGGGGGAGCTTGACCAGCCTGAAAACAGCCATCAGCCCTTCACCCAGGCTGGCCAGGCACCCCAGCGGGACCCCCACCCTGATCCGGGCAAACCAGCCGGCCCCCACCGGGGCACCAGGCCTCTATCCTATATAATAAAAGGGTAATATGCAAATTGACTCTAACAGCACAGGACTGGGAATGACTGGTCACTATGACACACACTGACCACCAGGGGGCAGGCGCTCAATGCAGGAGCTGCCCCCTGGTAGTCAGTGCACTCCCACAGGGGGAGCTCTGCTTAGCCACAAGCCAGGCTGACGGCTGCCAGTACAGCGGCGGTGGTGGGAGCCTCTCCCGCCTCCTCAGCAGCACTAAGGATGTCAGACTGCAACTTAGGCCTGCTCCCTGCTGGCAAGTGGACATCCCCCAAGGGCTCCTGGGCTGCCAGAGGGATGTCTGATTGTCAGCTTAGGCCCAATCCCCTGGGGAGCAGGCCTAAGCCAGCAGGTGGTCATCCCCCAAGGGGTCCCAGACTGCGAGAGGGCACAGGCCAGGCTGAGGGCTCCCCCCCCCTCCCCACGAGTGCACAAATTTTTGTACACTGGGCCTCTAGTAATTATTATAAGTTTACTTTGGAAATTACCATATTATAAGCAAACCCATTTTTTCATAATATATTTTTATGCCCCTATACTAATAAGTACTGCAAATTTACACAAAATATCTATCTATAATAATAAAAGCGTAAGATGCTAATTAGACCGGACAGCTGAACGACCTTCTGGACGTCCTTCCGGACGAAGCCACTGTGGCTGAGGCAGAGACAGTTAGGGGTGATCAGGCAGGCAGGCAGGCGATCAGGCAGGCAGGTGAGCAGTTAGGGGAGATCAGGCAGGCAGGCAGAGTGGTTAAGGGTGATCAGGCAGGCAGGTGAGTGGTTAGGGGCAATCAGGCAGGCAGGCAGAGTGGTTAGGGATGATCAGGCAGGCAGGCAGAGGAGTGGTTAGGAGCCAGCAGTCCTGGATTGTGAGAGGGATGTATGACTGCCGGTTTAGGCCCGATCCCGCAGGGACATCCGGCAGTCAGATATCCCCTGAAGGGTCCCGGATTGCAAGAGTGTGCAGGCTGGGCTGAGGGACCGCCCCCCCCCCCCCCGGAACAAATTTCATGCACCAGGCCTCAAATATATATATATATTTGGTCAGTGTGTGTCATAGTGACCAGTCATTCCCAGTCCTGTGCTGTGAGAGAGAGAGAGAGATCTACCTCTAGTTTTCATATGCTTGTAAAAAATATAATTTGGCAATTAAAGTCATAAAATAATCATGGATACAAACTTTTGCTATAAGGATATTCACCATAAGATTACTTAAACTAGTTAAAAATTTGAAACAGCTTAAATAGTATAAGGCTTGGATTCTTGAGCTTTGGAGTCAGATAAACCTTGTTTTGAGTCCCAGGTCTTCCACTTATTCTCTTTGAGCCTCAGTTTCCTCTTTTGTAAAATGAAAAAAATCAGATATTTTTAAGGGGGTAAGGGTGATGGGCAAGTAAAGAACAGAGGGAATTGGACCTCAGTGCCAACATTTTCTCACTGTCCACCCTGTAGCTTCTGGCAAGTGACTAACAGGTCCCTTAGATGGTACGACTGTAGATATATTGTGATGCTTACAATCATTCCAGCCAGCAAAAACTGATGAATGGAACTAATATTTGCTCGTTTCAAATAAGTATTCAATCTTTTCAAATCTTTTCTCAGGGATAAAGTTGTACCAGGATCTCTCCCATGCCAATTAGGGCACAAAGAAAGGAAGTTGAGTGCTTCACAAATTCAAGGTAAAGAGAATCATTCCCCCAAATGAAAACATAAACAAAAGCCCCTTAATATATCTGATAAGTTTTTTCTCTGAGAGATTAGGGATTTCAAGGGTTTTCTACTGTGCCCTGTTATTTGAGAGAGAGAAATTTTAATTCAATATCTACTTTGTGGGAAGGAAGGGGGATTATTTTCAAGTAAACATCTTCCACTCCAGCCAGGTGGCTCAGTTGGTTGCAGCATCAACCTATGAACAGGAGATCACAGTTCGATTCCCAGTCAGGGCACCTGCCTGGGTTGTGGGCTAGATCCCCAATACGGGGCATGCAGGAGGCAGCTGATCAATGATTCTCATCATTGATGTTTCTATCTCTTTCCCTCCCTTCTCTGAAGTCAATTAAGATTTTTTCAAATTAAAACCAATATGATGTAAAATTTAAAATAAATTTTAAAACATAACCATGCCTACATGCACATTACCTCTCTGACCTCTCCTGCTCCTCCTCTCCTCTTACTTACTCTGCTCCAGCCACACTCATGTCCTTGCTGCTCCTGGAACATGCCAGGCCCATCCACCTTAGGGCCTTTGCTCTAGCTCTTTCTTCTCTCAGATATCCACTCCCTCTCACCTATTTAATACAAGCAACCTATCCCTCAATCCCTGGTACTCCCAGTCCCCTGACCTTTACTTTTCTTTTTTTCTATAGCACTTACTACCTTCTAACATATTATCTAATTTACATATTTATGAAAGAGCAGAGATCTTTTTCTGTTTGGTGCACAAATGTTTCCTCGGCACCTAGAGCAGCCTCTGGTACATAGAAGGCATGCAATAAATAATTGTTGATGAAGCTGCATTAATGCCTGAATGCCTACTAACATGCTCAAAATACTACGAAAAATAGAAACAAGTCAGAGATGGTTCCAGCCCTAGAGAAGCCTTCTTTTCATTAAGGGAGAAAGATGTAAACTTTAGACACAATTAGAAGGCAGGTATCATTATCTCTATAGAATTAATCACTCTTGTACATGAAGATGCTAACACTTGAATGTGATATGAAATATTTTATTTTGGTGCCATTTGGGATATACTTTGTTCTGGGTTTATTTCTTCATTTGCTAATTTTAGAAACTACATTGTAATTTTGGCTCCAGTTAATTAATGCATTGAGTATTTCTTTGAAAAAAAACTTTGTGTCTATACAACACATACAGACCTCAGATTTCTCTAGGTTTGAAGTCAGGTGGGCTGCCTGGTTCCTCTTCTCCAGGCCTTAACACTGAAATGAAGGTGTTGGTCAGCCTGGCCTGTTATCTGGAGGCTCTGGAGGAGAATCTGCTTCTGAGCTTATTCAGGTGTTTGGCAGAATTCAGTTCATACAGTTGTAGGGCTGAAGTCCCCATTTCCTTGCTGGCTGTCAATCAAGAGCCTTTCTCAGTCCCTTCTGCATTCCATATCACATTGCCCTCCCACATCTTCAAACCAGCAACAGTGGGTCAAGCCCTTACTCTGATAATCCAAGATCCTCTATTTTAATTACATCTGCAAAATCCCTTTTGTCATGTAATGTAATGTGTTCACAGATTCCAATAATTAGGGTGTGGACATCTTTCAAAGGTCATTTTGCCTACATGTTTGGTTTTCCACCAACTAGTTGATTCCAGTTCAAAACTCATGCAAGGACACTATCCTTCTTAAGGAATGTCTATTAAGTACTCATATTTCTCTCAATATATTTTCAGAACATGATCTCCAATCAACTGTATTGTCTGTCCTAGTTCCATTAGAATATGTATGTATTCTTGAACAACTGTCCTAACTTAATTCCACTTCCCCAGCCTTCCAAGATGCCTACAACTTCTTTACCAAGGATAAAACCTGCTGTATTGATTTTCATGGAATGATGTGCACTTTAGCTAAAGTGGGAATGCATCTAACCAAGCATGATGTCTATAATGAATTAAAATATGCTGATATTGACGGTGAGTACTTAAACTTCTTATTTTTCTCATAAAAGCTTTCCTTAAATATATATTTTTCTCAGTGACCTTATGAACATGAGAAATGAACCTCACTTATTTGCCAAAAGTACCTATATATGGGTTTCTCTTTAAGGATATCAGTGAGGTATGTGTACAAGTTATGAAATCAATGTAATGCTTCTTTGAAAAATCCTGTGTGGAAAATAAAAGTCGTTGCCATATTTCAATATTGAATTCAGATTACCTGTCATCATGTACATTTTGGAGAGCGCCTTAAAATAACAGATGCAAAGGCATTGACAATTTCACAATGCCATGTTGTCAAGGAAATCCAAGCCCTTTGTTTCTGTATGAATCATAATTACGACAAATCTTCCTTCCATCATTACAACCCACCTATATTGAATTTCAAATGCCACAGAATGTTTGTTGATATTTTTTTAAAATATATTTTATTGATTTTCTACAGAGAGGAAGGGAGAGGGATAGAGAGCCAGAAACATTGATGAGAGAGAAACATCAATCAGCTGCCTCCTGCACACTCCCTACTGGTTATGTGCCCGCAACCAAAGTACATGCCCTTGGCCGGAATCAAACCTGGGACCGTTCAGTCCGCAGCCCAACACTCTATCCACTGAGCCAAACCGGTTAGGGCTGTTTGTTGATATTTTTATAGCATGTAGATAATGTTTTCTTTGCACATACTGACCTACTGATTAGTAGCCCAAACTGATATGTTGTGTGGGAAATATATTCAGAATATTATTTTCTCACACCTCTCCCCACCCAGCTGCCAGTGCCCTGTTCAATTTGCATCAGTTCCCCATGTGAGTCGATGTCACCAGTTAGTTAAAGCTTCACTTGTTTCTACTAACTGCCCAATCTTTCTATTCTTTCATTGAAACACACACACACAACTCTAATAGCACTTAATTTTAGAGGAAACAATGTGCAACTTGGGGATGTTATAATAATAGAAATGTTAGAGGTATAGAGTGGAAAGCAGGGGTGGGTTCCTTGCAAAATGGCAAGTCTCTAGGAAAGGAGTGAATGGATAGGACTGTCGTGGTTAGGAGCCCCTGGTTTGATGTTTACACCCCACCATTGCTTCGATGCACTGTGGGTGACTAGTGTCTAAGACCACTTCAAGAAGACCTGAGCACATCTCCAACCCTAAAATGCTCTGATTTTAACTATTAGATGGTCCATGATGTTTTAATTTTTATATTTAAAATATAATTTGATAATTAAAATACATCTTATATCCTTGTTTTGAGGCTTAGATTTCTGTTGCAGGAGATGGGAAAGTGAATTTCTCAGACTTTATAAAGGTGCTAACAGATAAGGACCGCTTCCTTAGAGCTGTGGGTAAGTAGAGATACTACGGAATATATAGCAGATGGAGTAGTTGCAATTCACTGCATAGTAAATATCATTCATTTCAGCCTCCAGTCAGGAGACATATCAAGAATGTGTACTTGGGAATGTGACTTACTTTTGTACTGCTTCTCCCAAACTGTATTTGCTGAGCAAATTGATACAGTTTTAGATTTAACTTAACTGTAGCAAGTCCTTCTCCAGGAGATACTATTTTTTGATCTCTAATGAGAGCACTCAGGCAGTGGTGTAGAAAAATACACCTTTTATAGTATTTTAATTCTTTACTGAGTACATGTGCTACTTTGAGAGGCACTCCTTTTATAAAAGAAAAAAATTTAGAAAAAAGAAAAATGCTCTGTCTCATGCAAATTTGGGTGTACGTACTTTACTGTTCCCCCAAAATATCCTCCTCACCCTGGGGAAGCCTCTGCCCTCAGTGCAAGGGCTGTGGAGAGTCTGCTAGAGGTTAGAGAGCATGTTCTCACATAAGGTTATAAATAATATGAAAGTGAATATTTTTATTAGTCCTCTAATGGTTTGTTTATGAGTTTAACAGGTGCCTTGGAAAATCTAATCCTATTCATATCATGTTTTCTAGGATAAATACATTCCGAATTCCAGATACTGTATATTGTTTTGAAAATATACCCATTCATAGGCTATGCACTGTCCTTAGCGCAAACAGAACTTATTGCTTCAAGTACCTCTATAGTAACAAGGATTTGCCTGCAAGCCAGAGCTCTATTTACCAACCACTCCTTTACCTAGAACAGGACAATTGTCCTTAACATATAATTCATGTTTGTGTTAAATGTATTACTAAATTTACTTAGAGACCATTGAACTAAGAGTCTTTTCTCAATTCCATGATTATTTTGTCTGTTCAATAATAAAAATGACCTTTCTATAATAGAACAGATGTTGAAAGTTTTTCTAAAATTCTCAAGTCTTTGATTTGGTATTAATTTTGTAAATACAATAAAAAAGACTGTCGTTTTAGTACTTCTTTGATAGATGATTTTTTTTCCAGAAAACATTTTGAATCTTTTTTTCCCCTTCATAGTTCCAGAAAAAGACAAGTGTTTAGATTTTGCTGGCAACCCAGGGATCCTGTTGTTTGAAATTCTATCAAAGCTTGTAGAGATTTCAGCCTTACCCAGAAAGGCTATAATAGAATTAGTAAGGTAAGTGACAAAGGGGCAAAAAGGACCTTTTCAGAAGCACCTAGGAGGATATTAACAAGGCAGTCTCCTTTCACTAACATTCTACTTCACAGGGTCTGCTCCAAAACAAAGGAGATGTGTGGGCAGATGGTCGTGTGCCACAACATGAGACTTCATTACTTTATCCCCACAGTACTGCACAGCTCTGAAATTGCAAGGCTGACCTCAGACCATCTCCAGTCCCCACTAAGGACCTAAGACAGCTAAGAAAGTTCAGCCTTTCCTACCTTAAGCTAGGGAATCCCAGGAAAATAAGACTTTTCCAAGGATGATTTGGGGTGGGCTTGGAAGTCTAGTTCAAATACAAACACTCCCATTCATGCTAGAACTACTAGGGGCTTCCAAGAGGTCCTCTGAGTGTGAGAGAAGGCACAGCAAGTTCAGACTTCCCGAAGTAGCCTTTGGAGTGGAGCAGAGCCAGATACAAAATGAATGGAAGATGAGGAAGCATTCTCACACCCAAATGAGTCTTTTTCCTGGGAGCAGGGAGGAGAGGAGAGAGAGAGAGAGAGAAACATTGATTTGTTGTTCCACCTATTTCTGCACTCATTGGTTACTTCTTGTATGTGCCCTGACGAGATTGAACCCACAACCTTGGCATATCAGGATGACGCTCTAACCAACTGAGCTACCCAGCCAAGAACTACCTGGTTGGTCTTGGGAAAGAGGAAGGAAGCCAGAGCACAGGAACTACACATATAAAATAGTCAAATGGGTCCTAGCCAGTTTGGCTCAGTGGATAGAGCATCAGCTTGCAGACTGAAGGGTCCCAGGTTCAATTCTGGTCAAGGGCACATGCCTGGGTTGTGGGCTCAGTCCCCAGTGTGGAGTGTGCAGGAGACAGCCAATCAGTGATTCTCTCTTATCATTCATCTTTCTATTTTTCTCTCTCCTTCTCCCTTCCTCTCTGAAATCAATAAAAAATATATTTAAAAATATATATCTACACTAATAAAAGACAAAGATGCTAATTGACTGTACCTTTGCTATGCCTGAGCCACGCCCACCAGCCAATCAGAGCGATTATATGCAAATTAACCCAACCAGGATGGCGGCCAGCAGCCACAGAGCTGGAGCAAGCTGGAGGCTTGGTTGCCCCGGCGATGGAGGAAGCCAAGCTTCCTGCCAGCTGTGGCCTCCGCAAAAGGCAACAAAGTTTCAATTATAGAAGACAAATAAATCCCAGATACCTGCTTCCAGCCAGCCTCCACTGGGAGCTTGGGTGGCTGGGGGCTGTGGCCAGCCTGCAAACAGCCATCAGCCCCTCACCCAGGATGGCCACACCCTCATGGGGTGAGGGTCCCTGCTGGGGGCTTTGCCAGCCTGCAAACAGTCCTCAGCCCCTCACCCAGGCTGGTCAGGCACCCCAGCGGGGACCCCACCCTGAAGGGGCTGTGGCCAGCCTGCAAACAGCCCTCAGCCCCTCACCCAGGCTGGCCAGGCACCCCAGCGGTGCCCCCACTCTGATCCGGGACACCCTTCATGGCAAACAAGCTGGCCCCCACCCATGCACCAAGCCTCTATTCTATATAATAAAAGGGTAATATGCAAACTGACCCTAACACCAGAGCGACTGGGAATCACTGGTCACTATGACACACACTGATCACCAGGGGGCAGACGCTCAATGCAGGAGCTGCCCCCTGATGGTCAGTGTGCTCCCACAGGGGGAGCTCTGCTCAGCCACAAGCCAGGCTGACGGCTGCCAGTACAGCAGTGGTGGTGGGATCCTCTCCCGCCTCCTCAGCAGCGCTAAGGATGTCCAATTGCAGCTTAGGTCTGGGGAGTGGGCCTAAGCCAGCAGGTGGTCATCCCCCATGGGATCCCAGACTACAAGAGGGCACAGGCCAGGCTGAGGGACCCTCCTGAGTGTACAAATTTTTGTGCACTGGGCCTCTAGTGTATACATATATACACTAGAGTGTATATGACTGGAACACTGTAATGACTGAAATGACCTGTCATTATGACACCCATTGCACCCAGTGAACTGGCCTGACCTGGAGGTGGGTCCAGCCAGCCAACCTCCTGTGATCCCTCCCACCAGCCACCCCACCCTCGATCGGCCCCCCCACCCCGATCGGCCCACAGCCCCTCCCCCCAGCTGGCCCCACCCCTGATCACCCCCCTATCCCAATAGGGGCAGGAGCCTGCCGGCCAACCTCCTATGGACCCCCCCCCCCGCTGGCCCCTCCCTCAGTGGGCCTCTACCACACTGATCGGCCTGCAGCCCCTGTCCCCAGCCAGCTCCGCCCCGATTGCCCCCCACACCAATCAGGGGTGGGGCCTGCTAGCCAATCGCCTGTGACCCCTCCCCCCAGCCAGCCTGGCCATGATCGACCTGATTAGGGCCGGCCAGCCGGCCGGCCGGCCAACCTCCCACCATCTCTTCCTCCCAACAGGCCCAGCCCCGATCTGCCCAATTGGAGCCGGGCTGGCCGGACCCCACCCATGCACAAATTCATGCACTGGACCTCTAGAAAATAAATAAAGTAGTCAGATGGCCTGTGGCAGTTATCAGTAGATATTCTATAAATGTCACAGAAACAGGCATTCAGTAAGTAATAGTGAATGACTATGCAAATTAAATTTAAAATAAATTTATTCAGCATATATAACTTGAAATTTGACTCTCCCCCTCCCCCACCCCCCATTTGTCTAACAAGCACTTTTTCAATAGAACTGTAGCATTTTTTAAATTTATTTCTGGATTTCTTTCTTCCTTTATTTATTTTAGCTATTTTCAAAGAAAATTCCAAGAAACCACTGCAGGAATATTGTGGAATCCCTCCCCTACAGATTATAGAAAAAGGAGATTTAAGACAGACATATGCACACCTCTGACCTCAAGCACAACTGCCTTTGCTAATGCTACTCGGATTGCAATAATGAAAGAAAAGGATTTATTCAAATATCTTGAGGAGCTCAGGAGTAAGAGCCATTTATTTTTTCCCCTCTATTGTAAAGGATTTATTTATATATTAATGGTCAGAAATAAATACAAGAGGCCAAGTGCTGTAAGAGCAGGACCACAGCCTATCTACCCAGATATCATTTGAAAGCAAAAATGTATATATTTCCTGAGTGCTCAGATACCTGGATGAAGCTGAGAGTCTTCAGGAAGTGGAGGGGTGGAGGTCACAGGAGAGTAAAGAAAATAGGTCATGGCACAGAGAAGTGTAGACAAAGCAAAATAGATGCCACATGTATGTCTTTCATGTGAATTTCTTATTATTTGTGATAACATTTTTTTGTGTGTGTGATAACATTTTTTATCTTTTTAGGATGCAATCCTCCTTCAGATAACCCATATTCAAAAATACCCGTCTTTCCGTTGTTTCCTAATATGGATGGGCTGGTAGTGGGAAAGCCATTCAAAGACATGCATAAATTAGAAATGCTTAGGAGAAAGGAGCCTCTGAGTTTTTTTGATAACTACTTTTTCCATAAAAGAGATTGGAAAACACAGGTGAGATTTAGATTTTGTCACATCAGTTAATTTAAATACTTGCGTTGTCTTTTATTGACTTCAGAGAGGACGGGAGAGGGGGAGAGAGATAGAAAGATCAATGATAAGAGAGAATTATTGATTGGCTGCCTCCTGCACACCCCACACTGGGGATCCAGCTCACCCGGGCATGTGCCCTGACCAAAATCAAACCGTGACCCCCTGGTTCATAGGTCGATGCATAACCACTGAGCCATGCCAGCCGGGCTAAATACTTGCGTTTTTAAGTTCTAACTTAACAGAACTAGTAACATGCTTTTTAATGACAGATATTTTTAGTCATTTTATTTCAAACCAGATTCCATAGACATAGTCCTAAATTTAAGCTCAGGTATAAATATTTAATTTCAACAAATAGTTAAACTTACTGAAAAATACAATCCTAGGTTTCGGGGTTGGGGGGTGGGGAATACAAGAATAATAATAAAAAGGCCCTCAGGTCCTACCTCCAACTGTTCTTCCATCAACTCGGGGACCAGAAGCTGCATTTTGGTCTTCCTCAACTGGCTCTAGATGGTGGTTGGGCCAGACACAACCCAAAGGAACAATGTTGTGGTGGAGGGGCTGTTCTGCCCTTGGACTGGAACCTCATTTATACTCCCAGCTGAACCTTCTGGATCTACTTCAAGATCTGTTGCCTCTAATCTATTTTCCCTCCTCTCAAGGTACACTTTATCATCATGAGTTTTAAGGTCTCAGGCAAGTATGCCCTAGTTTCTGGATATTTTTTCAAGCTCTGTCCTTACCCTGGTTTGTCACAGGCCTTCCAGCCTTAGAGACAAGATCAGGCTTTGACTAGAGACTAGCCCACCGGTGGAGCATCTCTGGGTTTCAGAGATCCGTGTGTGGCTCACATCATTATAACATGCCTATAAGGTCCCTGTAGGCTTAGGTTTAAGAGTCCCAGAATCAGGAGGAGGGAGAAAAAAATAGGGAATTGCTCATCAAATAGGGATGAAGTCAAAATTATGCAATATGAATAAATTCTAGAGGTCTGCTCTACAACACTGTATGTAGTCAATGCTGTATCGTACACTAAAAATAGTGGTGAGGATAGAGCTCTTGTTAAGAGTTCTCACCACAGTAAAATAAAAATAAAAAATTTTAAATGAGTCTCATGATGATCACAAATGACCTAAAGTCAAGACTTTGTCTTCAGCTCTCCAAATGAAGTCACACCCACAGGCAAATATCATTGACAATATGGTTTATCAGTATTTTTTAAAGTTCCAACATGCAGCCAACATTGAAAACCATTGCTCAATGAAAAGGGAAACTGGATAAAGGAGGGGCAGAGACAGAGCTGTCTATTTAACTTGTAAGGCCTAGTGTACAATAAAAATGTAGGACCCTTGTCCAAAATTATTAAGAACATAAAGACGGCAACCATGGAACATTAAGCTGAATTCAGGGCCCTTCTAAGTTTGAGGTCCTATGTAATTGCATAGGTCACACACCCATGAAGTTGGCCCTGGAAAGAGGATAATTGAAGGGATACGGTCCAGAGAACAAATAAAGACACAGTGGGAGATTTTGGCTTTGGAAATTAGGAAAAACTCACATATAAGAGGGAAGGAGGAAAAACCAGGTTCAAGGATGGAGAAATCCTAAAGTGGAAAGAAGAGTAAAAAGGATTCATATTAGATAGCCTTGAAGAGACAATCTGAGGGAGTATGAAGGTCTAGTTTTCTAGTGGTTACAATGAAGACTGTTAACAGTGAATGAAGAGAAGTAATATCAAACAGCACTGAAGGTTTGGAAGAAATTAGGCAATATACATTTTCACAAAAGCAATCAGCATATTCACAAGATTTCTACTGTATTGTTCAGCAGCCCAGGAATAAGGAACATGGATGGCTTGTTCCCATGAGAAGTCTGGGAGTAATATACATTGTACTCTGTGGGGAGCATATTCATTTCAGTGCTGTGTGATGGCTTGGAAAGTTTGAGTAAGGATGGAGTTGGCTCCTCTCTACCCTCTATATCCATTCCATACATAAATCATCTCAAAGTCAATACTTCTCTTATGAGAAGGCTTTATCATTATAAAAGAGAATTTGCTAAATGCCCATCTACACATGGGACAATACCTGGTACCCCAAAACACCTGAGAAGTGCTTTAGCAATAACCTTATAAATCATAACAAACCCTTTCATAATACAATATACTTCTGTTTATTATGTCTTTGTTGTATAATTCAAACTAAAATACATCACTAACCTTCTTTTAAAATGCGCATCAAGGCAGCAAATATAAAGCTTACCGACTCTCCCTCCGGCTACCCAACTGAGATCCTCACCATTGACCAAATGTTGAAGAAAAAGCAGAAATGGACAGTGACTGAGGCAGCTGCTCTTAAACCGCATGTGAGTACTCAGAGTTGAATGCCTTCCCAGAAAGCATTGACAAAAATATTTTCCACTTCAATACTATAACCATAAAACCAAGAGGGTATTTTCTCCTCTGTCTTTAAAATAAGACATAGATCATTTCTAATTTTTACCTGTTGTAATGACTTTTTTTACTTTTAAAATTGATTTCACGGAGAAGAAAGGAGAGGGATATAGAGAAACATCGATGAAAATCATTGATTGACTGCCTCCTGCACACCCCTACTGGGGATTGAGCCAGCAGCCCAGGCATGTGTCCTGACCAGGAATCAAACCGTAACCTCCTGGTTCATGAGTCAACCCTCAACTACTGAGCCACACCAGCTGGGCATAATGACATTTCTTGCTCTATAATCAAATGGATTCCAATGTTAACTGTTATAATTTATCCTGCTAATCACCTATGGAGCCATACCCAGCATCATTTCTGGGACATTAATTTGTTTCATGCTGGAAATCGCTATTAGTTAAGATACTAAACGAACAATCACAGTGAGTGGTACACTCAAGGAATCATGATGAGTTAAAGCATCTTTATTACAACAGCTAAAAGAATAATAGGACAGTAGTTTAAGTGAGCTTCCTAGGTGCCACGCATTGTGTTCTTCAAATGCTCTAATTCACATGCACTAATTCATTTACTTATCACAATGACCCTCTGAGGTAGGCACTGTTATCATTCCTTATCATTTTACAGATATGCACAGAGAGGTTAAGTGACTTGCCCAAAGGCACACAGCTAGGCAATAATAGAGCCAGAATTATAAGCACTGGCAGCTTGGCTCCAGAACCCACACTTGTAACCACAAGTCTATGCTACCTGTCTATTTTTGTGACCTGACTTCTTAGTTACTTTTGTAGTCCACAGAGACAGACTGAGGTGTATTTATTTTATTCCGCCTCCCTTCTGTATTTGACACTAATGACAAAGCTCTCCTTGACACTTTCTACTTCCTTGGCCTTTACAATACTGGATCTTCAATTCTCCTTGTAGCTCTGTGTCCTTTTCTCTCCTCTTTCCTGAATGTTCATCCCTAAGTCTTAATATTTCCTTGTTTTCTAGTGTCATCCTCCTGCTCTTCTCATTATATACGCTCATCCACGCATTTGTTCAGTAAATATTTATCCACTGTTAACAAAGTTCTGGGATTAGGAGATACCAGAGAGAAAAAACACAGTTCCTATCCTCACAGAGCTTAGAGTAAGGGTGGAAGACAGGGAGAAGGAAATGAGCGGTAGTAATTGTTGTGATAAATGTAACTTCAATGAAGGCCACTGAGAGCCCAAGGCCTCCAGGCTGGCACACCAGATGCCCCAAGGGCTGAGATGCTTGGGAAGATCAATAACTTGGCATACCTGTAACCCAGTCACAGCAGAATATTGGGGATCTCTGCATTAATCGAAGGAAAAGCTGGGATGAGTATTGTTTGGACTATTGACCTACCCTACGTATTTCAACTGCCACCTATACACTAATAATTTATAAATTTGCCACTAGTCTGGACTTCTTTCCAGTACTTCTGTCTTACCTCTCTGACTGCTAGACATTTCTACTTCACTGTCTCATAGCATATCCAACTTGACATGTCCAAAACCAAATTCATTATCTGCATCAAATTGGCTATTCCTTGGGTGAATATCTCAGATGTGGATATCTACCATCTTCCCAGTCACTGAAACTAGAAAGCCAGGAGTCATCCTTAAGTTACACATTTTCCTCATTCCTCACACTTACCAATCACCAAATCTGGCTATTCTCATTCCCCTGAAGATTTTTCAAATCTGTCCTCTTCACTCCATCCTATCCCTACTGCCTTAACCGAAGCCTTCATCAGGTCCAGCCTTGACAACAATCTCCAACCTTGTAGCCCTACCTCTTAGCTGCTCCCCTCTGCCCATTCTCCACACAGGAGATCCAACTATATCACTGTCCTGCTTAAGAATGAATGCTTCCCTCTCACGATGACAGGGTTTTCAAGTATATTTCATGCTCCACACAATCGAGGAATTTATCTCACAGCCATCAGAAAGAGTGGTTCACTACAGCGTGATTCTCACTGAGGAAAGGGTTCTCCCCAGCCTAAGGGAGACCAAGTCTAAGGGCCAATCACTGGTACAGCAGGCCTTGCCTGCCTTGCCTTCATCACTCCCTCCCACTTTAAACTTGATGCTTTAGCAATAGCAAAGTGCACTACCCCCCTTCCCCACCAACACCAGGATATTTATTATTGCCTTTGAGCCTTTGCTTATACTAATCCCTCTCCCTGGAACACCTTCCCGTCACCACTCTCAATTTTACAAAATCCTTAAGGACCTACGCAGCTCAGCATCTTCTCCCTCCCTAACCTAGGGTGGACTGAGAGCCATTCTTGGCACTCCTCTTCTAGTCAGAGCCTATTGCCATCCCACATTTCCTCTTTGTTTTAGTCTATTGTATTATTAATATTCTTATAAAATTTCTTATAATCTCATTATTCCAAGGTAATTTATTTTCATTGTCCATCAACTCCTAACTCCTCAAGAGGCACCTCCAATATATAAACTCGGTGACTTTCAACATAACTCTCAGGATATTTAGAATTGTGGTCCACAATCAAAGATATTTTAAGATAACAACTGTAAACTTCTGCTTTCTCATTACAGGTGAAGAGAGCTATAGAAATCTATAACTTAGGAACTGCTCTTGAGCACCGGAAAGAAATGCTAAATTTCTGGCATAAGATCCGAGGGGATTTGGTTGGAGTAGACACTAAAAATGAGTCCTTTTATGAAACCTTTTCTACTTATACATGGTCCTGGAATGTTTGCCAAGAATTACTTTCCCCAAAGGACTTAAGGTTGTTTGATGCCTGCATGCATAGAAATTCCTTCCACAATTCTTCAGTCCCTTCCTCTTCGGATACCAGTGAATGTGACATAGAAACAGGAAGAAAAAGAAAACGGAAAGGTTTCAAAGGGTCTCGACAATGAAATTTCTACATTTTCTAAGCAGCTCATTTCACTCTACTTTTTCATAGATATCAAAATTATGGTTCTTTGATTTTTAGTACATTCTTAGCAGCTGGAAATGTTGACATCTTTTAAATTCTAACCAGTAAAAAGTTTAAGTCATAATATGGCTTCCCTTTTCTAATTGTTTCTAGTAAATAAATGTCATTCAGTTATTTCCCTAGCAACCAGCTGCCCTCTGCTGCCCCCATCTGGCTCTGGCTCAACACTGCCTGGGCAGGAGAAAAACTGAAAGCAGGCACTTACCTGGACACAGAGCTATTTACCCTTGTGAGCTCCTAAGGGCCCTCTCAGCAATAAACATCTGAGTTTATGTGACTATAAATGGCATTAGGGTCTTTTTTTTTATTTGCCAGGGTAGCCTGAGGCAGTGGATGACAATGACCTTTCCGTTTCAGGGAATATCACCATTCCCCAGGGAGTCTTGACTAAATGTGGGTGTTCCTAAGGCTCATTTAGCCACATACCTTCAGGCCCTCTTAAAAACAGCCCTTCTCACCCATTACATTTCTTGTTGTTGCCCTTTAATACACTGAATAAAGCAGCACATAATAACTATATTATAAGTTGGGGGTTGTAATTATTTTATTGTGGAAAACGTATATAAAACTTACTATTTTAATCATGTTTAAGTGTATATCACCCATTACACTTTTTACATTATAGAAAAAAGAAAAAATAAATAATAGAAAAAGGAAAGGACATGTTCCATATTGATGGTGCCAGTGGCTTATAATGTAAAATTATAACATTCCAGGAAAAAGTAATAAAGAGAATGAAGGTAGCAAACTGTTTAATAAAATAGCCTTGAAGTAATTTTGTGTTACCTTGAATATTCAAAACCATCTAAATATAAAAAAGATTTATAGTTTGATAAGAGTTGTTTATTTTTGTATGGCTGCGAGTGTAACAGGCAATCTAAGAGATTTAATTTGGATGCCAAAATATTAGAATTCTTGGGATACTTCCTTGGACCAAGGGGATAATAAAATAATATTTTAAGTAGATCTGTCCTGGAAAATAAAAAATGTACAGTAATATATTCTTTATATTAAATTGCCACATACTGTTGGTGACAGTATAAACTAGCATCTCTCTGATGGAATACAGTATAGCAATGGGTACTCAGCCATTCATTCGCCAATTATTTATTGAGTTGCATACTATGTATGCTGGACCCCGGATCCAGGATCTGGATATATAACAGTAAACAAACAGATAAAATGCCCTGACCTCACAGAGCTTAGTAATGGAGCTAATTATAACCATTGACTCAGTACTTCCAGTTCTAGAAATTATTACTAAAGAAATAGCCATGAATGTACAAAATGATTTTGTTATAAGGATGTTTATCATGTTGAATTTTTAGGTAAGAAACTTAAAGAAGTCTAACTGTCCAATAAATCGTGATACAACTATATAAAACAGTACCAGGATAATTAAAATGATGTTGTAAAAGAATATTTCAAACAAAAGAATGATATCCACATGCTATTATTAAGTTTAAAAGCAGGCTACACTTTCTAAGAAGCATGAGAGAACTTTATGGGTTAGTTCTAAAACTTAATTATGATGGTGGTTGCACAAATACAGATTTTTACAAAAACTCATTGAACCGTACACGTGAAGTGGATGAATTTAATTGTATGTAAATTATACCTCTATGAAGCTGTAAAAAAAAAAGTGGGGCACGGAGCAGTTTGTTCTGAAAGTAACTTAAAAGTTATTTCTACAAATAAATTAGAAAAAGAAAGGAAGGATATAAACCAAAATGTTTAATGGGTTAAATGAAGGATGAGATGGGATTTTTTCTTTTGTCTTACCTATACCCTCTAAACGTTCTATAATAAGTACATATTTATGTTACAATAAGTAAAAACAAAACGGAAAATCTGTTTTAAAATTAAAGTTTTAAAACCAGCCTTTTCAATTACCTAGGGCTGCTGCAAGTGCTGTCCAGGTTCTATGAAACCTTGAAAGCAAATTATGACAGCAAGGTGCTTTCCCCAAGCCCTTCCGTTCCAGAGCACATACTTACACCAACCAAAATTTCCACTGATTGAAACTGAAAGAAGAGCATGAAACAGTTAACTACCTCTGCCCCGGGTTGACACCCAAGGCAATAATCCAAATTGGAGCTCTTAACCTTTACATCCTTTGAACCCATGCCACCCACTGAGCTGGTAGAGTTCTCACTACTCACCAGCAGAGGGACCCTTAGCTCCTCTGTAACATAGGGTGGTATGAAGTCTGATAACGATAGAGGACTCAGCCATGTCTTCCAAATTTTTTCGGAAGAAAATATTTAAGTGCTTCAAAAGATGAAGAAAAATTAGTTGTAGAGGTCAAAGATAATTGTATGAAAGTTAAGTATTAGGATACTTTAAAATATTTCATGGGGTGTGGGTGTGGGTGGGGGTGGAAGAATACAAGGAGGATAAAAGGTGATGGGGGAAAATAAAATAATTAAAATTTTTTTGAAAAAAAACATATCATCAATAGGGCCCAACTTGTTTGACATTTTAAATGACTCCAATTATTGAAACTAACATAAGTAACTGAAAAGTCAGCTCTCTGCAAGAAATTACGAAGTGAGGCAATTGAGCCCTAATAGCTTTTGGTGTAGGGAGAGAAAAAAAGTCTGTAGATGAGAGAACAAGATGCCAAGAATAAGCATAAACCAACCATCATATCTGCAAACAGCTAGCCTTGAGAAAAGATAGAAATGCTTGTATTTATTTGGAAAGGAGGTTTTGTTCAAATTGTTTCAAAAGACTGACAATGCAAGAGTCTTTTGTCTTCAAATAAAGTACAAGTTCTTTACTATCTTATCTTTTTTATTCACTCGTGTATTTTTCTTGATGACTAGAGAGAGTCTGGGAATTTTTCCCATTTCTTTGGTGGGCGAGGTATAGAAGAATCTCATTGCTTCCCTTAGGTTTTTTTTTTTCTTTTTAAATATATTTTTATTGATTTCAGAGAGGAAGGAAGAGGAAGAGAAACATCAATGATGAGACTCATTCATTGGCTGCCTCCTGCACGCCCCCTATTGGGGATCAAGGCATGTACCCTTGACGGGAATTGAACCATGGACCCTTAAGTCCGAAGGCCGACGCTCTATCCACTGAGCCAAACCGGCTAGGGCTCCCCTTAGTTTTAACTATGGGAAGAATCTGCAATGGAGACGATCACTGGTTACCCGTGTGCTAAGTCTAGTACTGCTCTACTCAAGTCACTAATCCTTCTCTTCTCCCAAATGGTAGTCATCCCTCTTCTGGAAATCTTCTCAACTAGCTTTATCTTCTATTGACAGCCTACTTTCTTCTAGGCTCTTGTGAGAATCGGTGTGTAGTAATTATCCAAATAGAAATGTAAGGCTGAGATGTACTCATGTCACAAAACTATATCTGTGCATGATCTGGACCAGGGGTGGGCAAACTTTTTGACTCGAGGGCCACAATGGGTTCTTAAACTGGACCGGAGGGCCGGAACAAAAGCATGGATGGAGTGTTTGTGTGAACTAATATAAATTCAAAGTAAACATCATTACATAAAAGGGTACGGTCTTTTTTTTTTTTTAGTTTTATTCATTTCAAACGGGCGGATCCGGCCCGTAGTTTGCCCAACGGCTGATTCTGGACTGTGCAAAATAAGCTTGGATATGGATAATTCAAACAGGTTATAAAAAAAAAAAACTTTAAAGTTCTCCTGGGTTATTTATTTTCTATACTTCCCCCATTCCACCCCCCTTCCTCCCCAAATTGTATATGGATATTTCATAGCTTTTCGCACTATGAAAAGCTGATTCTAGAGGCTGGAAAATTGCCCTATTTCCTCCCGCTGCGAGCTACCTTCCTCAATTCTTTTGCCAATCGGCTCTACCGTGGAATTGCCTTCCAACCTGCGTGCAACGGGGACCTTTTGGATCCCAGCATCGGAAGGGGGCTCCAGTGGAACGTCTCCCGCCCTCTCGCCACCAAGCGAGTCCACCAGAGGCCACCCAGACCCCGGCCACCCGGCTCGCCCCGCCCCCTCTTTTCCCGCCCGGACCCCGCGCCTCCGGAAGGGGGCGTGGCCCGCAGGAAGTTCTCGCGTGACGGAGCGGCAGGTATTTCCGGCTCCGGTATCATGGCAGACTCCAGCCCGGAGTCCGGCGCGAAGAGGCCGCAGTTCGGGAGCCGCTTGCTGAGCGACCCGGCGCGGGTCTTCCACCACAATGCCTGGTAACCGCCCTGCCCCCGTGCGGCCGGCGGCCCGCCCTCCGCCCCTCGCCCTGGGCGCCCCGCCGAGCCCCTGGCCGCAGCCACGGGTCCCGCTGCCTTCCAGGCGCTCCGCTCCCCGGGGAGGGGCGTCCCGAGGCCGGCGACTCAGCCTGTCCGCAGCTGGGACGCGAGGCCCCTGAGCGGCTGTTTGATTCTCCCAGGGACAATGTGGAGTGGTCGGCAGAGCAGGCCGCGGCGGCGCAGAGGAAAGTCCAGGAGAACAGCACCCAGCGGGTTTGCCCGGAGAAGCAAGGTGCGCCCCGGGGTCTCTCAGTGGATCCCACCGCCCAGCGACCTGCTGGACGCGCCCTCCGGGAGGCCAGACACCCGAGGTTGCCGAGAGCCTTTTGTTCAGCTGGGCTCGGGGGTAGAACAGGAGATGTGCAAGGATGGAAATGGGGTACCCCGGTCAAGTCATGTTAGGGCATAGAGGGTGTTTTGTTTTTTGGGGGGGAAGAGGGTTGATACTATTTTCTAGTGCTTACGTTTTTAATTATGTTGACTAGACCCGTATTAATATGGCTGGCCTCTGGCAATCGCCACGGTTGTTTTAGAGGATGTATTTTCCGCATGATTACACTTTGCCTGAGGAAATGTTACCACTGAAGCTATCAAGTGGTTGGGTTCTAAATGTTGGAAGAGGGGACTAATGACTGGTGAATTATGTGTCTTTTCTTTGTGTACTGGCTGTGAGGCTTTGGGGCCCCTGCCAGGGAAAGATGGGAGAAACGGAATGGAGAGAAGTCTGGCCAAAGAAAAAGAGACTGCTTCCGGAGAGGGGGATGATTTCACTGCAAAATATTCCTAGACGCTAAAACTCTATGTTGGGCCTGTGTCCTAAGAGATGATTGAAGGTAGGACTAGCAGTTGGAGAGTAGCTCCCGTTGAAAGGGTTCTGTGCAACAATTAGAAGATCCCAGTTACAAAATATTTACCTTGCATAGTTTGACAGAGCAAGTTAAAGGTGAAAGAGAATTTGAAAATCATGTGATCCCAATAACCTCTTTTTACAATTAAAGAAACTTGGACCCCAGGACATGAAGTGCCTTACCCAGAGGTAAGCAGATGGTAGTAGCAGTGGTGGAACTAAAACCCGACTTCTTAGATTTTTATTCTTCTACTACACTAGTCAAGGTCCTGTATTGGCAACGAGCAGAAAACTGAAATCTAGAGCACCCTTGATCACCTTCAACAAAGCTTGATCACCTCCAAGCTTTCTTTTAAACAGTCCACGCTTCTTTAGTATATATATCCTGTCTTCTGTCGTCGAAACTTTTACTCGGCTGAAGACATTTTTTCCGTGTCAACATTCTCTGTTTTCCTCTTACCTTCTTTCCATTTTCAGTATCCACACTCTAGAGAACCACAGACAAAGGAACATATTTAAAGAAGAGCTGCCTGTATCAAAACCATTGAGTTCACATTGGGGGACAAACGGAAGAACCTGGGATATTTAGCTTGTAAAAGAAGATCTAGAGGGGAAATGACTGCCCTCAAGCACGAAAGAGTTGTTTTGTATGGTCCTGAGAAATGGTGGGACCTTTTGGCCAGAAGTTATTAGACAGATTTTTTTTTTTTTGAACATTAGAATTTTCTGATAGCTAAGAGCCGTCCAAAGATGTGGGAGAAGAATTGATAGGTAGTAAGTGCCTAGGCAGAAGTTGGACTCCATAGAAGGGCAAGGTATGGAGGGAATTCACATATGATAGGTCTAGCACTAAATGATCTCCATCTCTGAGACTATGGCTCTAATTGAGGATACTTTCAGTATAAAATGACATTTGATGAAGCAAGGTGACAATTGACAGTAGATACAAATAAAATGTTGAGAAATGGTTCTTAAAATCTTTTCTTAAACATTTACAGTTGATTATGAGACTAATGCCCACAAATATTGGAATGACTTCTACAAAATCCATGAAAATGGATTTTTCAAGGACAGGCATTGGCTTTTCACTGAATTCCCAGAGCTGGCACCTATTCAGAACCAAAATCACTTGATGGATTTGCTCTCAGAGAATAAGAGGAGCGAAGTGCCTGAATGTAGGAGCAATGCGGATGGACCCGGTTTAATAACAGAAGAACAGCACAGGTGCTCTTCAAACAGCCTTGGGCATAAAACACAGACTCTTCCTGTGGAAAAGAAGGTAACTCAGAAACTCAGTCACTTGGAAATCTCTGCTGATGAGTTTCCTGGATCCTCAGCCACCTACCGAATACTCGAGGTAACTTTTCTTTTTGTCCTGGTAGTAGGCTAGAAAAGTTGTAATGTTGTGCACATGGTCAGCATAGAGAGGCTGACCACAAAGTGACATCTGTCTGCAGAAGACTTGACCCTTATGTTGGCCAGGAATCACCTCCATTAAAACAAAAAATTTTTTTCCCCCATTGATTTCAGGGAAAGGAAGGTAGAGGGAGAGAGAGATAGAAACACCGATGAGAGAGAAACATCCATGGGCTGCCTCCTACGTGCCCCCTATTGGGGATCAAGCCCGCAATCAGGGCATGTGTCCTGACTGGGAATTGAACCAACAACCTCCTGGTACATGGGCTGATGCTCAACCACTGAGCCACACTGGTCAGGCTCACCTCCATTTTTTAACTGAAATGCCCTAAATGTAGACCAAGATATTTGGTGGTTGTGGCAAACAAAGATAGATCACCTGAGGTACTACCTGGGACACCATATTGCATCTGAAAGTTGTAGGTTGTATTGCACCTGCCATCTGGAAGAGTCCCAGGTCCCAAGGCAACTTCTATTAATGGTGTTGCAGAGGCCAGGGTAGACCTGGAAAAGTGTCTAGATTGGTGCTGTAATGTAAATTCACAAATGATGACTACCTACTCCACTGGAAGCTGGTTAGCCTTGAGATTGAGTCCTGTGGCATGACCTTGTACCTCTTACCCTCCCCAAGCAGAATGGGGCTTCTGACTCTCTCTCTCTCCCTCCCTCGTTCCCTCATAGTTTTTTGAAGATGTGTTGAAATGGTTTATGTAAAATAGTTAAGAATAGTGTCTGGCACATAGTAAGCCCTTAGTAAATCGTCACTGTTTTTATTATTGCCACACCCAGTACTGTATTTAAGGACATTGTAATCATGGTTCCCTTTTCATTAAATTTTCCCAGTCTATTGTATTTAAGGACATTGTAATCATGGTTCCCTTTTCATTAAATTTTCCCAGTCTATTAGTAATGTTTTTCTGTGATATAGTAGAGCTCAATATGAAAATAATTCATCTACAGGACCATTCACTAGAATTCAAAAAGTAAAAGCAGCTCTGACCGGTTTGGCTCAGTGGATAGAGTGTCGGCCTGCGGACTCAAGGGTCCCAGGTTCAGTTCCTGTCAAGGGCATGTACCTTGGTTGCGGGCGCATCCCCAGTGGGGAGTGTGCAGGAGGCAGCTGATCGATGTTTCTCTCTCATCGATGTTTCTAGCTCTCTATCTCTCTTCTTTCCTCTCTGTAAATATCAATAAAATATATTTAAAAAAAAAAAAAAGTAAAAGCAACCCTGTTAACAATAAATGAATTTTTTTTTTAAAAGTAAAAGCAGCCCGTACCTTTTTTTTCTAGACACTTCGGCTAATAAAAGCCCATGCTGCCCTAACCGGTTTGGCTTAGTGGATAGAGCGTCGGCCTGCGGACTGAAGGGTCCCAGGTTCGATTCTGGTCAAGGGCATGTACCTTGGTTGCGGGCACATCCCCAGTAGAGGGTGTGCAGGAGGCAGCTGATCATTTCTCTCTCATCGATGTTTCTAACTCTCTATCCCTCCCCCTTCCTCTCTGTAAAAAATTAATAAAATATATATATAAAAAAAGAAGAAGCCCATGCTACTTCTGTATGTGTTCCTGAGGTCAAGGTCAGGGAATATCATAGGTACTGTTTAGCTCTGGTCACTACATCATCCCTAACACAAGTGGGCAAGATTATCTATTGTTGATTATTTATCTAGCTTCTGTAATTAATTTGGAAAGTTCTGTGATTAATAATTCATTTCTGTCTGCAGGTTGGTTGTGGTGTGGGAAACACAGTCTTTCCAATTTTACAAACCAACAAGTAAGTATGTTGTAAAGTTTATGATAGCAAATAGGAGGAAAGTGAGGGGTTGTTTATCAAAAGTTTTACACCAAATATAACTGGTTATTAGGAGCCATAGGTTACAGGAGGTTTGCATTTCTACATTATCCAATTATAGATTGTTTTGACTTAATCTGATTTATATGTTAACCTTTGTCATCAAGGAAATCAGTGAGATTTAAACCTTTTACATTGTTAATATATGGTACTGTTATAGTTTAACCCTGTTACTCAGGAAAGAGGATAGACATAATCCAGTTGGTAATGTAATTCTTCTGCTGTTTTTTTTTCTGCCCATTTCAGTGACCCAAGACTCTTTGTTTACTGTTGTGATTTTTCTTCCACAGCTATACAACTGGTCAAGGTAAGTGCAGTGGCTCCTTTCAGTAATTTCCACTGATTAAAGGGAAAGGGTCTTCTAAAAATCATGGTTTCTAGCTATTTCCTTACTGTACTGTGGTCTAAAAGTCAAAGATTTACTGAAATAGCCTGGAGGAGAGGAAAGGGTCAGACAAATACAGAGTCTGCCACTTGCCAGCTGTGTAACTTTGGGCAGCTCTTATGACCTCTCCTAACTTATTTTTTAAGGATTGAAATGAGATGATTGTTCAGCCAAAGTTCTTTGTGTTACAAGTCGCAGAAACATGTAGACAAACTCAACCAGTACAGTGGAATGTCATAGAACCCAAGAGCATCAAGTGTAGCCAGGACTGAAACTCAGCCCTGAAGAGGTGTCCGATATCAAGGCAAGTTGGCTGGCCAGTGAGACGTTGCCGCCCCTTCCATCACTACACCTCCCTCGAGTTCATAGTGTCCTATCTCTCATTGCCCGGTGCTCACTTACCTTTTTCAAATTAGTTTTCTCTTTGCAGACTAGCTTTCTGTAGTAGGTTTTCCCTGGTTTTGCACATGGCCCCGACATGCTTGCCCCTCCCAGTTCCTTACAAGTCCACCCTGTTCAGGTATTCTCAGAACCTCACCAGAATGACTGTACCAAAGACTCCGGTCTTGGTTAACCCAGCCCAGCTGGTAATCTCTTTTGCTAGCCGGTTTGGCTCAGTGGATAGAGCGTTGGCCTGCGGACTGAAGGGTCCTGGGCTCGATTCTGGTCAAGGGCACGTACCTCGGTTGTAGGCTTGATCCCCAACCGGGAGGCAACCGATCGATGTGTCTCTTTCACATTGCTGTTTTTCTCTGTGTGTCTCCCCCCTTCCCTCCCACTCAAAAAATCAATCGTCGAGTGAGGATTAACAACAACAAAAAAAGGAATGTGTGCCTTAATGATTAGAGCTCTATTCCTCAGAGGGAAGTAACTGCAGTTACACTTAAAGCAAGATTAGTTTACCTTGAGGCTCTGTGAACATTTTCTAACCCATGTGTTGTCTCTCTCCTCCAATTATCTGCAGACAAATTCAGCATATGATGCAGCAAGGTGTTTTGCCTTTGTTCATGATTTGTGTGATGAAGATCAGCGTTACCCGATTCCCAGGGATAGTCTTGATATTATCATCCTCATATTTGTTCTTTCAGCGATTGTTCCAGACAAGTAAGTAGTATAAAAAAAGCAAAGGTTTAGTCATGGACCTTGATATCACAGTTGGGCCCTAAATAAAAATAAATGTTCTGACAGACAGAAAGAAGCCTCTCCATCTGAAGTGATAGAAGCATCTCAACCGTTTTCCTGAATTTGTCTTGAAGTCCAACTTTTGTTTCAGCCTCTAAAACTGCTTATTGACTTCATTGGTGGATTCTTCTTTTCATTTTTATGGTATAATATCCCCAAAGAATGGGGGGGGGGACATCTTTAATGGGTATTTGGAGAAATTTCATATTGATAATCTCATAGCACGCTGTTTCAACATCTTATTATTGGCCTTTTCAAATGAACCAAGACTTTTTTTTTCCTCTCTCTTTTTTTTTTATTGATTTTAAAGAGAGGGGAAAGGAGAGAGAAAGAAATGTTGCTTTATTCCACTTAGTTATACACTCATTGGTTGCTTCTTGGATGTGCCCTTACCGGGGATTGAACCCACAACCTTGGCATATTGGGATGTTGTGTTAACTAACTGAGCTACCCAGCCAGGGCATAAACCAAGCTTATTAACAGCACAGAATGTACAGTGAAGCCTAACTCAGCTATTCTCTGATACTTGAGTTCTGTGGAAAACAAGTATAGTAGAATTTCATAAAATCAATTTAGGTAAAAGACAATTGCTGTACCCTAAAAGATACCGTTAAAGCCTCGACATAGACATCTTGTCTTCCTAGTAAAATACCGTCTCAAGGAAGCAGTATTGGTTGGAGTCCCGGGGGAGTGATTAATTTTCTCCAGCCCGTGTTTCCTCTAGAATAGCATTGAGTCATCTGACCTGACAGGGATATTGTGAGCGTGCAGTAAAAGTAGATACAGAACAGCCTAAAGTGCCTGGCATGGCTCAAAACATTAGTAACTGCAGAAGTTTAAATGCTACACCTTTAAAAAACTTACGTGGACTGAAATGCAGCACTAAAGTTAAAAATAAGTTATTCAGTAGTTAAATAAACTTTCAGGTGGTTTTTTGTAAGTTTGTGGTGTTTATACTTCTGAAGTTAGAAAAGCAGGATCCTGTACCACGCCTCAATATGAAAAGTGCAGTAGGAAATATGAAGCACTCTGCTCAGTTATCATTTGCATACTGACTGTCACCATGTAAATTGTAAGTTCTTGAGGTTCAGTCTTAACAAATGGAAAGCTCTGCATTCAAACAGCTTGAGCCTAGAGGGGAAAGAACGATGAGTTCACTAGAGTCCCATAGCAGGTGGTGGGAGCACAGGGCAGGGATGGCTTCTTCAGGAGGCAATCCCAGGAGGAGAAGGAAGTGAGCCAGGCAGTGTGTGTCACTTTTCCTATGGTGGAGCCCTAAGACAGAAGGAGGTTATCCTCAGTTATTAGCAGGCCCCAGAAGGCACATCAGAAGTTTGGATGTGTGCTCCCTTTCTGACTAAAGCAAGGGCTAGGAAGTCCACGGTCTTTTTAGAATATGCAGCAAGGAAAAGGAATCTTGCCCAACCTGGTTGAGTGTCCACTTATGAACTACGAGGTCACGGTTCCATTCCCTGTCAGAGCACATGCCTGGGTTGTGGGCTCCATCCCCAGTAGGGGGCGTGCAGGAAGCAGCCTATTGATGATTCTCTTTCATCAATGATGTTTCTATCCCTCCCTTCCTCTCTGAAATTTATAAAAAATATTTTTAGAAAAAAAGAAAGGGAACCTTATCTTTAAAGAGGCCTGATCTTCATTCCCTGTACCCCACAGGATGCAGAAGGCTATCAGTAGGCTGAGCAGGCTTTTGAAGCCTGGAGGGATGATGCTTCTGCGAGACTATGGCCGCCATGACATGGCTCAACTTCGGTTTAAAAAAGGTATTTTGCTACTATAATCAAAACAATAGTTTTGCCATCAGAATAGACATACAAGTCAGTGGGACAGAATAGACACGAGAATTATAGCCTCCTATGTAAAACCACTTCGTACATGACAAGGATGGTCTGTTTTTGAAGGCTTGTATAATCTAGGTATTAGGGAGGTCTTTTTAACCAAGGCAGCTACTTTTAAAAGAGCTATTTTTAGAAAAAGACATTTGATTACATAAACAATTTTAAATGTGATGGCAAATGATGTCATTAAAAAGTGAAAAGACAAGTCTTTTTGGTGCAGAAAACAGATAAAGACTTAATGTCTGTGCTCTTCAGGGGACTCTGGGCAAACAGATAAGGAAAAGATCAGTGCCCCACCCAAAAAGCAGGGAAGGAGTATTTTAGACTTGGTTCACAGAAGAACATACTCAAATGGCCAAAAACAAAACTTCAAGGGAATAAAAGAAACAATGAGATATCCGTTCTTAAACCTATTACTGGCCGGTTCAAAGAGATGTTTCTCCACTACTGGTAAAACAAATTGTTATGGCCTTTTATTTATTTATTTTATTGATTTCAGAAAGGAAGGGAAAGAGAGAGAGATGGAAATGTCAGTGATAAGAGAGAGTCATTGATTGGCTGCCTCCTGCACACCTCCTACTGGGGTTCGAGCCTGAAACCCTGGCATGTGCCCTGCCGGACCGGCAATCCAGGCAATGACCTCCTGATTCATCGGTCGATGCTCAACCACTGAGCCACACTGGCCACTCTGTTATGGCCTTTTAAAAAGCTACCCTATATTATCTATTCAATCCAACAGTCCTTTTGGGAATTTTTCAAGAACCAGCCATAATACATACATGAGCAATATCTTGGAAACAAAGTGAGTGCCTCTATAGGGGCATGCTGCCGGTCTTGGGAAGAGGTGTTCCATTTTATTTCCAAGTGAGAAGAGCAGTGCACAGATGAGTATTTCAGACTTGAGCCCACATGTAACAGTAGCTGGGGAGAGAGACGTAGGTAAGTAAAGCAAGTAAGATTATGTTGACATTCAAAAGGTGAAGGATTACACACCAGGGTGTTAAATTGATATACAGTCGGGAGTTAGCAGCAGAAGGGAGAGCATGTCTAACATATAAAGAGTATGTGTTATATATATGAATATGTGTGTAGACACATGGAGAGACATGCAAAATGACACTCACCAAAATGGTATTGGTGGCTTAGACTTAATGGTATCCTTAAATTTAGCGATATTGTTTGATATTTATTTTATTTTTCTTCCCTCCTCACTCCCCCCCCCCCTTTTTTTTAACAAAGAGTGGATGGTATTTATTTAATCGGGGGAAAAGGCGAAAACACAACCTGTTTCAGCAGGAAACAGAACTGTAGAACCAGGGAGCTGAGAGTCACATGTATAAGTTACTTAGCCTGCAGTTTGATTATTCCCTTTGGCTGTTCTTCTCCAAAGCACCATTCCTTTGTAGAAGAAAAATTGTAGATCCCTGCAAAGTACCAAGTATAAGCAAGGAAGAATTCTGTTCTCTGCCCAGGAAGATGGTCTGTGGTGTGCATTTGATTGACAATGAAATTTAAGGAAGTGCTTTAAAGTTTCTCTGATTTTTGCCACATTGCTCTGCAGGTCAGTGTCTATCTGAAAATTTCTATGTGAGAGGTGATGGCACCAGAGTTTACTTCTTCACACAAGGTATGGAAACAACACTCATCTTTATGTCAATACTTCCAAAGTATATTAAGTGTTCCTCGGTGGACTTCCAGAAGTAGGGTCATCTGGCCTTCCTACTTTTTACAACCTTTTCCTGTCCTTTCCCGTCCCTCACAGCCAACCTGAACTGCTCACTGTTCTCCAGATAGGCTCAGCTCATACGTCTTCAGTCCTCCACCTTGTTCTTCTGCTATCTGCCCTTCCTCTCTGTCACATTGTTCAAAACCGGGAAATTAGCCCATTTTGCAAGACTCCAGGGCAGCTGTTTCACCCTCTAATCTGGGTTGTGCCTGAGATGCACCTTAGTTAGGGGAACTCACCATTCACTGGGTTCCAGATATCACTCTGAACTGCTCTCCCCTGCTGCTCGCCCCTGCTGCTCGCCCAGCTGCAGTTTCCTTCTCCACCAGTGCCTTAAGAACACCCCATTGCTGGGACCTTTGTCAGATCACATATTTTTCTGAGCCCCTGGTTAAAGTGATAGAATCTCTCTTCTTAAAAACAAACAAAAAAAGGACTTTCACAGACATATAGGTAAATCTTTACATGTAATTTTAAGGTATTCATAGAGCCCTTCTTGAAAACTCCTCCCTATCAGCTGACTCTTAGAGAAGCTCTCCCTTCGGGTTCCATAATACATAAACATCTATTTTCCAAACTAGATGAACTGGACACACTTTTCACGACTGCTGGACTGGAAAAGGTTCAGAACCTGGTGGATCGCCGATTGCAAGTGAACCGAGGGAAACAGCTGACAATGTACCGAGTTTGGATTCAGTGCAAATATCGCAAACCTCTTCTGGCCAACACTGGCTCCTGACAGGATGGGGCTCCTTGGCTTTTTAACAGAATATTCACAACTGGTGTCTTGTTGATGTTGGACAGTGCAAGGAATCAAACAAACTTGAGCCTTGGACCTAGGAAAAAGTTACTTTTATCAAGATTCAAACAATCACGCTTTCTATTTGTGAAGCCCTTTAATGTATACTTTCCTCCAGCTTGTTCTTACTTTGAGATCTCAAAAAATCTTTCTTGCCACTTTATAGTATCTTAATAACCGAAGTATTCATGGAAATTGGGAATTTTAAAGGCATCAAGAAATTATTTCCGTGTGCAAGTATCATGTATGATAAAGTGCCATTTGACTGTATGTTTCATTAAGTTATTTGAAATACAAATACCTGGTTCCAAGGTGTTTTAAGCACTTTTCCCTTCTCTGAGTAACCTGTGTCCAAAAATTAAAAGGATCTTCATTTTTAGCAAAATTGCGTTATTTTTTATTGTGTTCTTAAATGTTTGACACAAAAGGAATTGAGAGAACTTTATTTTAGCCACTTCACTTCTGAATGCGATTGTCATCAGTGTTACCTTTTTTTATGTTCTGCTTATTTTCAGTTATTATTTTTACATGTTTTTCTCTTGTGGTCTATAAGTTATATGATGTTACATTTTTTTAAAATATGTTTTTATTGATTTCAAAGAGAGGGAAGGAGAAAGATAGAAATATCAATGATGAGAGAGAATCATCAGCTGCTTCCTGCATGCTTCCTACTGTGAATTGAGCCCACAACCTAGGCATGTGACCCCACCAGGAGTCGAACCATGATCTCCTGGTTCATAGGTTGATGCTCAACCACTAAGCAACACCAATACCTTTGGTATTCCTTTTTTTTTTTTCTTTTATCCTCACCCTAGGATATTTTTCCATTAATATTTAGAGAGAGTGGAAGGAAGGGAGGGAGGGTGAGGCACACACACATGGATTGGTTGCCTCCTGAATGCATCCTGGATCAAACCTGCAACCCAGATAAAGTGCCCGAACCCGCAACCCCTCTGTGCTCCAGCCAACACTCTAACCACTGAGAACACTGGCCAGGGCATTATATATTCTTAATTTTACCAAATAAAAAATGTCAATTCCTCATTCCTACATTTTGGAGTTTCAAATTAAACTTAGATATTTTCATACTTGTTTTATTTTATATGTGAAAAGACAAGCAATTTTTAAAATAATTCCAAACTTACAGAAAAGTATAGTACCAAGAATGTTACAAGAAGAGTCACTTTTTTCCTGAATCACTTTTAAGAGGATGTAATTCCTGTTGTAAGACATTCTCCTATATCACCAAATAAGTCTATCAGAAGTAGAAGTTGACATGGAAACACTGTTACCCACAGATAACCAAGTTTTCCCAATGGTCCCAATATGGCCTTTATCACTTCATTTTTTAAAAACCCACTTTGTTGCACTTGGTAGTCATGTCTCAGCCTCCTTCAAGCTTGTTTTCATAACCTTGACATTTGAAGATTACAGGCTATTTTGCAGAGGGCCCCACAAATTGGATTTGTTGATACTTCATGATTTGTTCTACCTTTTTGGCAGGAATATCAGGTAATGCCGTGCTGCTCCCATTCCTTCCTGTTAGGATGCATGCTTTTTAATTACTCCATTGGTGATGCTAACCTTGATTATTTAATTGAGGTGGTGTCTGTGGGGATTCTCCACGAAAAATTACCAGTAAATACTTTGTAGGGGAGTGTTTTGAGACTACAAATACCCATTCCTCACCAAACTTTATCCCCCGGTTTCAGCATCTTGCTGTTTCTTGCCTGATTACTACTCTATGATGGTGGTCGCATAGAGATTCTAACCCCGTTACTCCTATCTTTATTGGTTGGTGTCTATAAGGAAGACTTTATTTTCTCATCCTTTTATTTAATATGGACTCACGGGTTTCTTTTTTATTCAATGGTTGTATACTATCGTACTATCATATTTTTTAAAATATATGTTTTATTGATTTCAGAGAGGAAGAGAGAGAAAGCATCACTAATGAGAGAGAATCATTGAATGGCTGCCTCTTGCATGCCCCCACTGGGGATCCAGCCAGCAAACCCAGGCATGTGCCCTGACCAAGAATCGAACCGTGACCTCCTGGTTCATAGGTTGATACTCAACCACTGAGCCACGCCGGCCGGGCTACTATAATATTTTAATGTTCATATTGTCCTAGATTCGGCCAGCAGGAGCTCCTTCAAGTGCTTCTGTAACCTTTCGATGTGTCCCAGTCACTCTTTGAGCACTTCAAGCACAAGTTGTCCCAGGCTCATCTTGTACTTTTTCTGCCCCAGTCTGAATCAGCCATCTCCCCCAAGGAGTGATGTTTCTTTAGTGGAGAGAGGTATTTAGAAGCCAAGCTAAGTGTGCTCATTGCTATTGTGGTGTTCCTGTTCCCAGGCCACCTAAGTGGGTGATGCTGAGGGATATATGTATGTACCTATACATACACTCACATCTATGTTTCTGTACTTAAATATATTGAAAACCATCAGTTCAGATCAATACCTTTGATTTCAATCCAGCACCACAGAGTTTATTCTAGTTTTGATTCTCCCTCTCTGTACTTGCAATTCCCTTTTCCAATAATTCCAAACTCCCATGATCCACATTGTATTGGACCAATCATTCTTTTGCCACTGCCCACACATAAACGCCCACACCTCTCTAGGGCTCTGATTCCCAACTCCAAGCCACTGTTGCCACCACTTACACAGACACCCTCCTCACCCTGCCCTGGGTCCTGTGCCCCCAGAGGCCACCACCTCTCTGCCCCTGTGCTAACATCTACCTTGGTTGGCTTCACCTGATGAATGTAAAAAATGTGGAAGGGAGCTCCCATCTTTTTGTTGCAAGGAATGTATTTAAAAGGAAAAGACTGAATCACTGGGATGGTATTTCATTTATCTTTTGTAATGAAGAACAGATGCATTAACTCATGGTCCACTGAAGACCCGCTAAAGCAGCGGTTCTCAACCTGTGGGTCGCGACCCCTTTGGGGGTTGAATGACCCTTTCACAGGGGTCGCCTAAGACCTTCGGAAAACACATATATAATTACATATTGTTTTTGTGATTAATCACTATGCTTTATGTTCAATTTGTAACAATGACAATACATCCTGCATGTCAGATATTTACATTACGATTCATACAGTAGCAAAATTACAGTTACGAAGTAGCAACGAAAATAATTTTATGGTTGGGGGTCACCACAACATGAGGAACTGTATTAAAGGGTCTCGGCATTAGGAAGGTTGAGAACCACTGCTCCAAAGCATTTCAAAGCTACAGAAACAGTTTTGGGGTTTTTAAGATTTTTAAATTGATTTTTAGAGAGAGAAACCTATGTGAGAGCAGAGCTCAGCCGGCATGGCTCTGTGGTTGGGCGTCAACCTATGAACCGGAGATCACAATTCAGTTCCGGCCAGGGCACATGCCTGGGTTGCAGACTTGATCCGAGTGTGGGGAATGTAGGAGGCAGCCAGTTGATGATTCTCTCTCTCCCTCTTTGAAATCAATAAAAATATATTTTTTTTAAATGTGAGAGCAAAACATTATCTGCTGCCTCCTGCACACCTTCTACTGGGAATTAAGACCGCAACCTGAGCATGTACCCTAAACTGGAATTGAACTGGCAACCTTTTGGTGCACACGATGACACCTGACCAACTGAGCCACACTGGCCAGAGCAATAGAAACAGGTTTTTTTGTTTATTTAATTGTTTTAATATATTTTTATTGATTTCAAAGAGGGAGGGAGAGGAAGAAAGAGATAGAAACATCATTGATGAGACAGAATCATCAATTCGCTGCCTCCTGCATGCCCCCTACTGGGGATCGAGCCCGCAACCCGGTCATGTGCCCTGACGGGGGATCAACCATGATCTCCTGGTTCATAGGTCAACACTCAACCACTGAGCAGCCTGGCCGGGCAATAAGAACAGTTTTTATTCCATTTTCCTGGCATCTGACTTAGCCTTCGGCTTAGGTAAAACAGATGAGCCTTTTCCTGACCGTGGTCCCTTTTCTTCTCTGCCATATGCTAA